GCGTGGCTATGGGGGGGGCCACTCCCGGGCAAGCGACTATGGGGGGGGCCGCCCCCGGGCGCGCAAGTGTCCCCGCCCCCTGGCGCCCAGCGGGCGAACGGCCACGCCCCCTGGCGCCCGACAACCTCAAAAGGTTGGGGACCACTGATCTAGGGGTATGTCTGCACTAGCTCCCTAATCTGAACTAGGGAGGCTAATGTAGGCATTCAAACTTGCAAATGAAGCCTGGGATTTAAATATCCTGGGCTTCATTTTCATGTTCCTGGGTGGGCGCCATTTTTAAATGCCCTGTAGTCCGAACTGACTGCCCGTAGCTACATGCGGCAGTCAGAAGTTAATCAGAACTAAGTCTACACCTCATTGCATTTAAAAATGACGCCCACCCGGGAGCATGTAAATGAAGCCCAGGATATTTAAATCCCGGGCTTCATTTGCAAGTTCGAATGCCTACATTAGCCTCCCTAGTTCGGACGAGGGGGCTAGTGTAGACATACTCTAAGAAACCTAACTTGTAGGCACAAATAATTGTGAGCAAATTACCCCAAAATTAAACACCACTCCCGGACCCACTGATTGGGGGGAGGGGAGGAGACAAAGGGAGTAGTTGCCCCAATGCCCAGAAATTCAAAGGGGCTTGGGCTCAGAGCTGCTGCCACCTCTACTGAGGTAGCAGTAAGAGCTGGAGCCCTAGGCCCTTTAAATTGCCACCTGATGCAACACGTTATGTGCAGCTCTGAGAGGTGGGGATGGTCAGGTGCAGAGGGCTAGCTACCCCGCCCCTGTGGCCCAAGGCCCTTTTGGGAGCATGGACCTATGCCCCCCAACCTTGATCAGGAGCCTGTGGAAGCTGTTGGCTCTTTGGACCACTCCATTAAATTTCAGTCTTAAAAAATAAAGAAGTAAAAGCGGGTCAGATGAGGCTGCACTGAAAATTCTGCCCATTGTATATGCTTGTCTGCATAAGAATATAGCCACTAAAACATCTTCAAAAACATAATGCCCACTTTTATTTGAGTATTTACCTCCTGTTCTTGTTTTTTCCTAGCTGCCTCTTCTTTCTTTCTTTTTTTCTCCTCTTCAATCTATAAAAAGTAAATTTGAAAAACAGCATTACTTAGATCAAAATTAAATCCATTGCATTAGGTTATTTCTTCCTACAGGTTGAACCTCTCCAGTGTGAGACTCTGATGTAGAAACATCCGTGTTCCAGAATCATCTGAGATCCTGTGGGTGCTCTGGGGTTGGAGCATTCTCAGGGAAAAACAAGTACAGCAGGACGGACCAGAGAGTTGGCCCAGCAGCTGGGAGCAGAGCTCAGTGGCAAGGGCTGGAGTCTGACAACAGAGTGGCCAGCATTGGCCTCCCTTTGTCTGGCAAACTCCCTGGTTCAGGACTGGTCAGGTCCCAAGGATTCTGGATCAGGAAAGCCTAAATTATAATGTAAGCTAAATAACTATACATTTTACATATCTGATCGTAGGTAAAACTGGTAACACCATCTATAATTATGGTTACTGAATGAGTCCATTAGAAGACCTCTGTTTTTAGTTACATATATATTTACCAAACTAACTCTTCACACTGAATTTCTTCCTGCCTGCTGTCTGCCTGAGCTGGATATATTTTTAGGAAGTTTCAACAAAAGTATTTCAGCCATTGTTTGCCCACATTAAATAAATCCTTACAATTGTGATTGAGAAACTCTAGTGCTGCACAATCCTCCATACTTTGAAAAAAGGGTTCAAAATTTGGGAGAGTTATTTTTATATTAGGAGTGAACCTTTTGCTATTTCTATAGAAAACTGTCCAAATTTGGCCAAGTTATGAATCTCTGAAAAATCTTATTTACATGTGCTTAGACATATTAGAGTCTGACTGCTAAATTCTCCAAAGATTCTTTTAGTAGTGAGTGTACTTCCGCAGTCAAGATGTAGTCTAGCCTGAGAGCCCTGCCCACAGAAAGAAGAAGAGGAGGGCACAAAAAGCACTTGAACTTTAATTCCCATGCAGCACTGATATTTCCTGATCAAAAGGTTCAGATTTTTTGCTAAAAACTTTCAGTTGATGATTTTTTGCCAGAGTCAAAATTTTTTCATCTGCAGGTGTCCAATATTGTCCAATTATATGGAAATATTTACCTTTACTTTACAAATATGACAGAATAATTTACTCACGGGCATTTTTCTACCATGGAGACAAAAGCATAAATAATCCATGCCCAGCACATCATAACTGCATAAAGACTTCTGAAACTTGAAAAAATATTTAAATTCCCTATAACATGCTTTCAAGCAGTTATCTTAAATTATTTTTCTCAAATGCCACTTGAGTTCTGCTATCTGTTTGGATATACTATTTCCCATTTTGTTTGTGTTAAAATTGCCATTTCTCTCACAAATCAGCGATGAAATATGTCCCGTCAATAATTATGTTTTACTTTACATATGCAAAATAATATAATACACAAACTAGTTTAATGTGAAAGAATTAAACTAATCAAAAACCTTTTTCTTTTCTTCTCTTTCTTTTAGTAAAGTTTCTCTGTCCACCAATTTGACCACAGTTGATAGCCCTGGCGAAACAAAGAAAAACAAACACAAACACTTACATGTCTGGTACCACGAATTTTTCTCAACACACATTCTGTAGTTTCTTTTCAAATTGTATTAAGAGTGGGCTTGTCTCCAACTATGCCAGGGATAACAGCAGGGGAATTAGCTCAAGTGGTAGAGCGCTCGCTTTGCATGCGAGAGGTAATGGGATCGATGCCCACATTCTCCAGTGTTGGGAGAAATCTCTGCTTTCCTTTGGAGGGGAAGGATAGCTCAGTGGTTTGAGCATTGGCCTGCTAAACCCAGGGTTATGAGTTCAATCCTTGTGGAGGCCATTTGGGGCAAAAATTTGTCAGGGATGGTACTTGGTCCTGCTGTGAAGGCAGGGGACTGGACTCCATGACCTTGCAAGGTCCCTTCCAGTTCTAAGTGATAGGTAATCTCCATTAATTTAATAATGCTGCAGCTATTGATCCACCGGCCATCACATCTGCTTAGATGTAATAAATTGTTCTCTAATCACTCTACTTTCATCACTGCCGGTACTCCACCAGGATGAAAAAAGTAGCTGGTGACAACAGGAGAGCAACCCATGATGACCTTACATGCTGCACTAAATACATTGAATTCAGCTATGCTATTTGCGTAGCTGAAGTCATCTGGTTTAGATAGATAGTAGGAGTTAGTGTAGACAAGGCATGATTCACGGTCTCCAAATGACCATTTAGAAATGACTAAAGAGCCATGCACCATACATAGAGATTCAAATGTACATTTTATCTGAATGCTTTAAACATTAAAAAAACTAAAACTGTGAAAGCTCTGTGCATTCAGTAAATTTGACAATGATTCCTAATTATTCTTGATCATACGGAAATTTTTCAATACCTTAAGAAAATAATTCACCAGATTTTAGCAATAGCTACAATTTACAATACAATTTGTTACCTTCATGATCTTCAAATCGAACTCCAAGCTCAGGAAGAATGTCATCTCGAAGTGCATCACTCAACTGCAGTGCTTCAGTTACTACAATGCACAGAAAAATTCAAAGTTCTGACAAATTTAAAATAAAAATGTACTTCTCTTCCATACTGCTATGTAGTTATTTAATGCAAGTAAGAAATTACTGTAGCTAGATCAGCTTTCTTTCTTGCTTTCTTTCAAAGTAAGAGATCAGAGGTGGGGAACCTTTTTTGGGTCAGAGGCTGCTGATCCACAGTAAAATCAGCTGGGGGCTGCATACAAGTGAGACGCCAAAACAAACAAACAAACCAACCACCCACTCCACACATCAAACTCTGAGGGTATGTCTACACTACCACCCTAGTTCGAACTAGGGTGGTTAATGTAGGCAACTGAAGTTGCAAATGAAGCCCGGGATTTGAATTTCCCGGACTTCATTTGCATCTTGCCGGGCGCCGACATTTTTAAATGTCCGCTAGTTCGGACTCCGTGCCCACGGCTACACGCGGCATGGACTAGGTAGTTCGGATTAGGCTTCCTATTCCGAACTACCGTTACTCCTCGTGGAACGACAAGTGTTGTGTTTGTCCCTGCTTTTGTAACACAACTGGACTGCAAAACAAAACAAAACAGATGTCCCAATGACACAAAGCTATCAAAAGATGCAATGTATCTAGAAATCTCCATCACTTGAAGTCTTTAAATCAAGACTGGCTATCTCTTTAAAAAGATAAAGAATAGCTCAAACAGAAGGTACAGGCTTGATGCAGAAACTGCTGGCTGGAACCCTATCCTGTGCTATGTAGAAGATTAAACTAAATCATTAGAATGATCCTTTCTGGCCTTAAATCCTGTGAACCCTGCCAGGGCATACAGGGAAGTGCCAATCCACCTACATGTTGCCTGAGGATTTCCAACAGGCAAAATCAGGAACCAAGTCCCTGCTGCATCACAACATCTATCCCACCTACACACAACCAAACAGTGGAGAAGCTGTGTGATATTGGAAAGATACATTCTCAAAACTATGCTAACTAAAAACATTGGCATTTGCCATTTCTATGGAAAAATCTTTCCCAACGTGCTGTTCTGTTCTTTATCCATTCAAGATAGTCACTTGCAGAAACATTGACAAATTTTAGGAGAATGTGATTTTACGGAATTGGTAATTGGCATAACTATCATTTTATTCTTGCTGATGTGATGTGCCATTGGCTGTCAATAGCCAGAAGTGATCAGGGTCTCAAGATTTATCACTCATGCAAAAATAGGTACTGTTCAAAGACATAAGCAAAGAGAGGAAAAAGCTACATGCATATACTGAGAAACAAAAGCAAGTGATGCAAGAGTCAATGGTGTTTGAAAACATTTGCATAAAATGTTTTGCTTCAGTAGAAAATTATTCTCTAGCACTAAGAACCCCTGTGTTAGATCAGCAAATCTGCAATAATGTGAATGGTGCAAGAGGCAGAAATACAGGAACTTTTGCGGTTGCACGAGTACTGAAATAAAACCTAAAGGTGCATGATATTAAGTTACCTGACACATTGACAAATTATAAAAAGCATTTTACTTAGAGTCATTTCTGCCCACTGTACACCTAGCAAACATCAGGGGTATTTTTCTTTCTTCATTTATCATCATCAATAGAAACATTCACAGGTTAATCAAGACTCCACTTAGAATGAATAATGCAGGCTTCAGATTCAGCTGTCCACTAGTCCCAAACATTATGTGAATAAAGACTTTTATTCGCATAATCGCTACGTCTACACTGGCATGATCTTGCATAAGAACTCTTTTGCGGAAGAGTTCTTGTGCAAAAACTCTTCCAGAAGAGAGCATCTACATTGGCATGTGCATTTGCACAAGAGATGTGCTTTTGCGCAAGAGCATCCATGCCAGTGTAGACGTTCTCTTGCGCAAGAAAGCTCTGATGGCCATTTTAACCATAGGGCTTTCTTGCGCAAGAAATTCATGTTGCCTGTCTACACTGGCCTCTTGTGCAAGAACAGTTGCACAAGAGGGCTTATTCCTGAGCGGGAGCATCATAGTTCTTGCGCAAGAAACACTGATTTCATACATTAGAATGTTAGTGTTCTTGCGCAAGAACTTGTGGCCAGTGTAGACAGGCAGCAAGTTTTTGCACAAAAGAAGCCGCTTTTGCACAAGATCGCGCCAATGTAGACACAGCCATAAGGTTTGAATGGCCTATGATTAGGCCATTTTGGTTGAAGACAGAGTTTATTCAATAATGTTTGAATACACACTTTGTTATAGCTCCATCTGGTCTTCTTAAAAGATTCCCAGATTACATGTGCTTGAGTTATGGAATGATTTGTGGATTGTGTTATTGGTAAAAAAGTTACCTTTAAAAGACTCATACCCATAGCATAAGTCTCTGGGGCCTTTAAAAATTAGAACACAATTATTTATATTTAACATTATCTTGCCAGCAATTGGCTATAAAAAAATTCCCTTAATTTACAACTACCTCAAATAAAAGCATAAATTTGGAGGCAATATTTCCAACCACTAATTTGAAGAGACGTATTTTCACACAGAAGTTCCCATACTTATATGGTACACAAATCTGAGTTCTGGTGGATCAGCAGAAAATTAAATGAGTTCCAGAACTGGGTTTCTTCTCCAGAAAATCTACTACTAGCAGCCCCTAAATATTCAAACTGTTCTCCTATTAATCAGATGACATTAACTGCAGAGATTTTTTGCATAAAGAAAAATAAATTTGATGTACGTTTTAAATAGTAAAAGGAACTCAAACTCACATTCTGAACTGAAGATCTACAACTTCAAAAAATTCAAAATTAAAACATATAACCTTTAAAATCATTAAGACTAAGATCAACTAGACCAACATAAGTTTGTTGATTATATCAGAATAATCACATTATTGGAAGCATTTTGTGCTTGTCAGATAGTTATTCTGTGTGTTCTGGCTAATATGTTCCAGTATGGTAACAATTACAGTTCAACTTCCTTGCTAGCTTTTATCAATCTACTCAATCCAAACCATTTTATTAAAAAAAACAATCAACATATTTCCCATTTTGTTTTCAAAGCTCGCTCTCAGTCATAAAATTAGTTTTAAGAAAATAGGTATCAAATATACATTGAAGATGCATAAAACCCTTGGGGAACAGTACACAGAATAACAAGAAATCCATTAGGACCTCATCAACATGTGAAAAGCAAAGAGAGATTAATAGACTAGCATTTATAACACAACACAGCTCAGAGGCCAACATAGAAAGAAGCAGCAAAGCTTCTAAAGAGAAGAAAAAAAAGTCTGCAACAACCTCCAGCAAACTCCCTTATGAATATGCCAAAGAAATACTATCTGGGGATTTGCAATCAAACTGTGGTATCTAACAACAAAGAAACAACTTAGCCTATTTGTAGTCAAACAGGTTGATAGTTCCAATAAAAGGAATAATTACTATTTTCACTTTTGAGAATGTACAAGCCCCCTGTAGGGCAGGAACTGCATCTTCTTTTACATTTGCCATCACTAGCGCATTGCAGGAAACAGAAAATTCATACTGCCTGTGCCTCCCCCCTTCCAATGATATGAAATTCTGAATACTTTTAACAACAGTTAACCTGACAAACTTCAGAAGCATCAGAAAAAGATAATCATAATTAAAAGGACACATGGTAAAGATTTAAAGATTCAAACTAACTTTGGTTTACTTTTGTATACATATGTTCAAATAAATATGACATTTTTACTTTAAAAGCAGACATGCTATTTATGTAAATCAGATACTAAAAAAGCTACATTAACCCTTACCTTTCTTTTCTCTGGCAATTTGTCGCACGCCTTCTCTGAAATCAGACAACACTTGTAGATATGGCATCACTGTAGTCTCAAGCTATAGAACAAAATATTTCTGTGATTAGTAAATTTAGACTGAAATCAATTAAAAGACTCCCAGTGACTTCAACAGGCTCCAAATAAAGTAACTAAGAACTTTCAGTTGGATAACTTTGCTAAAAAGAACAAAAAAAACTTGAGGTGCAACTGCCAAAAGATTCAAGGAAAGTAACTAATTTAAAGGAAGAGACTGTGAAAATCAAGTCAATAATATAATGGCTGCTGGAAATAAAAGTCTATTTCTTTACAAAATTAACTATAGACTTGTTCATGTGTGCTTGGCTGTGACATCATTTTTCATATTTAAAATCTCCAGAGTGCTTATTTACAAAAGAAGAGATAAGAAGAATTATGTGGATTTTACAAACAAATGTTAAAACTCCCTCCACGATCAGCTCATTTGATGCCTACTAACCTTGGCGGCATTACTTTAACATTGAAAGATTTTGTTTGTTGTTCCACACTAATGCCAGTCCTTCTGCAAGGCACATTTAGCTCTAATCATTGTGAGGACTGTTTAAAAAATAAGTAAGCCCATGAAAGATTAGTAACAAGGCCTGGCTTATCTGGTGTAATTTGAGATAACAGTGTTTGCTAATTCGGAACTAAATTAGAAGTCCAATATTTATGATTTTTGATACAGAATAGTACCATTTTCTTCAAACAGCTCTCTTGCCTCTACAGTCCAGAAAAAAGAGAAAAAAAGGTATAGAATGCCTAGTAAAAGCTTATTTAGTCCACTGCAATAATGGGCACCCAGTACTACACTAAATACCTAGATAGACAGAGACACAGTCTGGTTATTCATTCATCTGCCTCACCTCTAACAAAGGAAGTTTTTTTTCATGATAGGTTACATGGGCTGTGTAGTTTTGTTTTGCTATACTGTACACAGATTATTCTGTGAATGTTTTCATCACCATTCTTTGGGGGAAAACAGAAAATACCTTTCTAAATGTATTGCACTTAAATCTGAATGGTCTCATGTAACCATGTTTCCAAATTCTGGCATCAGATGTTGTGCTAAATTAAAAAAAACAAACAAAAAAAACCACTTGAAAGAGTACCATTTAGCAGGTTAGACTTTGCTTCTGTACAGAGACCAAAATCATTGGCCTCCCCTCATTCCTGAGTGCTACCTTCCTATTCCCCTCCAAAGATTGCTCCTACATGACAGAACTTCAGAGTCCCCCAGGAGATGTGTCCTAATTGCTCTCTACAGAAATAGCTTATTGCAGTAGTACTATAGGTAGCATAGTTCTGTTCATCTAGCACAGTGGTTCCCAAACTTTTCGGCATCACGCCCCCTTTTTGATTTTTGAGAAACCCTCACGCTCCCTCCTCCCCCAAAAAATAGCAGCAAAGCAGAAACCAGATAAATATAGCTCCTTTAACTATCCATTAAATAACCATTACGGCTTACAAAGAAATCAGAAAGTGAGACTGAATTCAGAATCAATATCCATCCAATTGCCTTCCTGCTAGTTTAGGTGCACTTCAATGAGCCCTAATTCTGTAAAAATATTATCTATTTAGTAGTTGTAATGAGATAGTAGGTACGGTATGTAATCGGTGTTGTTTTCTCTTGCCTAACCTCATGACAAGATAAAGGTGTGTGGGAAGGAAGGGTAGGGTCTTAGGGATTTATTTATTTTTATAGTAGCAGCAGTATTTGACTGTCATTAAAATGAAGATGAAAATTCTGCCAAATTCTTCTCTCTTACACCTCAGTTAATCTGGAGTAACTCCATCCAAGTCAATAAAATTACTTCAGATTTACACCACTGTAACCAAGAACAGAATATGGCCCTATAACACTGTTTTTCTAAATCTAATCTTTCAAGGGGCTATAAACAGATACAGAATGAGTTAGTAGGATGCACTCAGTTTCCCACTTACATTTATGTTTTGGCCATTTCCTCCAACAGGGAATCCAATAGCTTCATCACTTTCTATGGCACCAAATATCTAGTGAAGGAAAAGAAAATTAAAGACACACTGATTCAACAGAAGATATCTGGAGGCTAACTAAAATCAGACATCCTGACATTTGAAGAGGCCACCCAGTTCATCTAGTAGTCAATATTCAAGCATCTTGCTAGGAGATTGTTCTTTATTTTTAAAGCATTCTAAATAGTTGACAGTCAAATGTTGCCTTAGTGATGTTGATTGCACAACTTTACTTTGTTCACTATATAATTTTCCATGTACGTTTTTTTTTCCTGCCATACACTAGGGATGTAAAATTTCAATTAGTTAGCTAATCGAATAATTGATCCTATTTGCACTGACTACTCAATTAGTCAATAAGGGCACTGCTGCCTTTGAAGTGTAGCAACAACCCCAGGGCTGTTGCCACACGTCCAAGGCAAAAGTGCTGTTGGGAGCACAGGGCCAGTGGGAAACTCAAGTAGTTCCCTAGTGGCCCTGTGTTCGCCACAGTGTTTCAAAGTGGCAGTGCCACGTGGCTCCATGGGGCTCCATGCAGCGCTGCCACTTTGAATCACTCTCTCTCCTTCCTCCCCACTTGCTGCCTCTTTCTGATAAAGAACTGTAGTTTTTTTACCCCCAATACACCAAATGTTATGATTTTGCTTTTAAGCAACTGGCTTTTTACAATCTTGCAATATCTAAAGAATAACTATACTGATGCATACATGTTTGGAAAACATTGCTGTAGTAGCTGGGTAGTGTTAGGATAAATATATTTTTTAATTTAATGTAAAATTTCATTATCACTTACCTTTAGCATCTGAGAGAGATAAGAGCTAATATTTTCTAGCAGCAATCTATTTGGCATTTGTCTGGCAGTTTTCTTAGCAGCAATATAGGAGTTACTCTGACTGACTAAAGATCGCATTTCTTCCAAGACAGTGCGAGTGTCAATGTTGTCACACAGCGCTTCATGAATTGCTGCCTTCTTGTCGTAAAAGCTAAATCAGGGAAAAGACAAGTTTACAATTTATATCCTCATCAGGGATGTAAAATTCTGTTTAACTAGTTAACTGGTTAAATATATTGTTTAACTGATGAATGGATTAAAGGGTGGATTAAAGGCGGACTAGCGGAGCTGGGGGTGCTCCAGCTCTGCTGCTTCCTGCCACTGGGCTCCCTGCCACTGCCCACCCGCCTGCCGCTGGACCCTAAGCTCTCTGTTCCAGCAACCTCTGTGGTCCTGCTGCCACGTTAGCTCATCCTCCTGACCCCCCAGATGCTCCAACCTTGGAGCACCCACAGGGTCCCCGAGGATGCCTGACCACGGATGTTGCTGGACCAAAGTCTCAGACTAGAGAAGTTCAACCTGTAGTTATCTTTACTTAAAAATCCAAAGGCCATAATATACTCCAGAGAGAAAGAAAAGGGAAAGGAGAAAGAAAAGAGGTGGAGGAAGCAAATACTCTCTTCTCCCATTACTTCTGTTTTTCCTATCCCTATCTTCTTTCTCCCTCCTGTGTGTCTTGTTCTTGACTTTCTCACTCTCCATTACTCATCATTTTCTGTTTTGACTTCCCCCCATTCATCAGTCAATTTACCCAGCTGCTACTGATAAAAAGGTACCCATCTTTCCAACACTGGGGACACAACGTAGCCAGGACTTATAAGATTCCAGGGGAGCTAGGAGAAAAATATTTTTATTACACAGTACAATGCCAAATGTATGCAACTGCAGATGGAAATTCAGTGCTGAAGATTCCAGTTCACTGTTATATGCTGACCTCATCAACTAGCAGGAAACCTTGCCTGCTGTAAACAGTAGTTTAATCCCTTCTCTGCATCACACTAAATGCCATCTCTGTTAGACTTTGGGAATTCCCAAAGACACACTTAACTATATGTTGCTTTGACTTTAAAAATGAAGAATCAAATCACACAGCATGTTTAAATTACCATGAGTAAACTGGGATTTCATTAAAATGTAGAATCATGCCAATATCTCTATTTTGTTTTTACTAGATTGAGGGTAAGGTTAAAAGTCTGAAACTTCTGAGTTCTGATCTTTATTCTCTCATTTTGGGCAAATCACTTAATTTTTATTTGTCTCAGTTTCCCACAGCACTTTACAATTTCAAAGTATTATGTTACTGATACAATTGAAACACCAGTGCAATACGCCCCTTTCAATATGTCAAGAGAAGTGATGTGTTAATTTCTGTATGATATGCTGAAAAATACCTCATATAGCTGTTGCAAGATTAAATTAATCAGCTTGTAAAGTAATCAATGGAAGGCACCATAGGAGTGTAAAATATTTTTCAAGAAAAGGAAATGCCAGTTAAGAAAAACATGAACCCAAAGTATGCACATATATAAATGGCTACTGATGCAGAAATTAAATGTATGTCACTCACCTTTTATTCAACTCTGTTTCCAGAAATTCCCATTTTTGAAACTGGTCTGTCAAATCAGTGGGAGTCCGAAGGATATCCTTTACATTTAAAAAGAACTCCTAAAAAGGAATGCAGTTTGAAATCAACATAACTCAGACACTGCCAAGGTTTACTATAACAAAGTAAGCTGTGCTTTGTCTTAGTCAGTGTTTATCAAAGTGCTAACTGGCCACTGCAGTTTGTTCATTTACTGGCTCCTCAGCCATGGACCCTGACAGCTCCCATTGGCTTTGGTTCGCCGTTTGTGCCCAAGGGAAGCCACGCTGCTTCCTGCAGCTCCCCTTGGCTGCAAACAGCAAACTAGAGCCAATGGGAGTCACAAGGCTCCGTGGTTGCGGAGCTGGTAAATAAACAAACCGTAACGGACAGTTAGCAGACTTCTCAGAGTGGATCTGCAGACCACTTTGAGAAACACTGGTTTAGGTTGTGACCGAACACACCAACATGATATTAGACATTAACTAAGAACACTGCAATTTAATTTCTTTAAACTATGATCTTTTTACCTTGGAGTCCATGTAACAATCTTGTCAGTGTATCTCCCTACAATTCATTCTAGCATTGCTGTAGTGGGTAAGGTGCATTGCTAAATGCTTTTCCTGTCACCACAATAAACTGACTGTCATTAGTAGAAATTGATAGACCAAATCTAATTGCACTCTTTAAAAAATGAAACAGTGTCAAGTTATCACTTGTGAAAAGCAGGACTTAACTGGAGTGATCTGAGTTGCACTCAGTGCACAGGTGTCATGGAGGTTTTTCCAGATAGCTCTGCAAATGCACCTCAGCCTTAACATACACCAATCTTTTTATTTCAGTAACAGGACTCACTTAAGACAACATTTCTGATGTGCAGAACTATGTGGAAATGTTGAGAGGTGAGTAAGTAGGGACAAAGAGCAGTTGTACTAAGTATTTATTTTAAATGAAAGATGCCACATATATTCAGCAAAACATGTGACTCTTGCACTACCTGGATGGCTAATGATCTCTTCACATATTTCCCACTACTTTAGGTATCGTGGGTGTAAAAGGAAACATGTCAAAATGTATGTAAAAAAGTAATAGCTAGTGTATTTCACTAAGATGACATTTCTGTTGGGTTAGTTTTGTGTGCCTGCCTGCATAATTATGAAGGATCTAAAATTGCTGCATGAATGATTTGTAACTTTAATGCAGTAACTCTGCATAATGGTGCTACCACCCTTAAAATCAATCTTTAGGTTTTACATAGCACATAAAAAAGCCACCTCATTCATCACAGTACAGGCAGTCCCCAGGTTACGTACAAGATAGGGACTGTAGGTTTGTTCTTAAGTTGAATCTGTATGTAAGTCGGAACTGGCATCAGCCGCTGCTGAAACTGATCAGTTTCAACCGCGGCTGAATCTGGACGCCAGTTCTGACTTACATACAGATTCAACTTAAGAAAAAACCTACAGTCCCTATCTTGTACGTAACCCGGGGACTGCCTGTA